CTTCGCTCTTCTTCTCTCTCTCTCCTTCTCTTCCCCGTCTCATCTGGCCCGCTCATCTCTATCTCTCTCTCTACTCTCTCCGTCTCTCCCCTCCTCTTGCTCCTCTCATCCCCCCCCTCTCTCTCTCTCGCTCCTCTCTTCTATCTTTCTCTCTCGCACCGCGTATGACACGAAGACGTATGTAATTCGCGCGACACGCACCTCTCGCCTTTCGAGCACGCTTTCGCTTTCCCTAAAATTCGGTCCTGCGCGGCCCCCCGCCTGCCTCTGCTGCTGCACGGGACAGACGATGTTATCCGCTTCTAAAGTGGTGACGGGGTAACGATGAACACATGTTTGTGCTCCTACCGCTCTAGGAATGCTTAGCTAGTACACGGTGCACTGTGTGTGTGTGTGTGTAGTGTGTGTGTGTGTGCTGTGTGTGTGTGCGGTGCGGTGCGTTGCGTGCGGTGCGTGCGTTCGTGCGTGCGTGCGTGGGTGCGGCGTGTGGCGCGTGTGTGCGTGCGTGCGTTTGTGGTGTGTGTACGTGCGTGCGTGTGTGGTCTGTGTGTTTCTGCGACTCCGCTGTCTTCTCTCTCCCCCTATCTTCTCGGCCTCCTCCGTGTCCCTGCTCTTTCCTCCATCTTTTTCCGTCTCTCTCTCTCGCTCCTTCCTCTCTCTAGCGCTCTACTCTCCCTGTCTCCCTCTCTTGCTCCATCTCCTCCCTCTCGTGCCCATCTCTGCTTCCCCGCTCTCTCCTTTCCCCTTCTTCTTGGCCGCTTTCTCTCTCCCCCTTCTCTCTTCCCCCTCCTCTCTCTCTTCGCCACGCCTCTCGATTTATTCAGTCAGAAGTAGCCCACTTGATGGGTCTTTGCCCCGATGTGTGAGAGGAGTAGAGCTGAGATGCTGTCGATGAGTGTGCTGGCTGAGTACATTCATCCAGGGCCCTCAACTCACCTGAGTGTACGTGCGGTGCAGTTCCTGCCCCCCACGGACGTGTGGGATCGGGAGAGCATCGTGTCGTCGCTGGTGTGTGGGTGAGCCAGTGTGTTGTGGTGGGTGTGTGTGTGTGTGCGTGGCGTGCGTGCGTTCGTGTGTGATGTGTGGTGTGCGTGCGTGCGTGCGTGCGTGCGTGCGTGCGTGCGTGCGTGCGTGGTGTGTGTGTGTTGTGCGTGCGTGGCGTGCGTGCGTGCGTGCGTGCGGTGCGTGTGTGTGTATGCTGTGTGTGTGTGTGTGTGTGTGTGTGTGTGGTGTGGTGTGTGTGTGGTGTGTGTAGTGCATGCGGTGTGCGTTGCGCCCGGCGCGATGCGGCCCCCGCAGGCACGCGTGTGTGTGTGTGTATGTGTGTGTGGGTGTTGTGGGTGTGTGTGTGTGTGTGTGTTGTTTGGTGTTGTGTGTGTGTGTGTGTGTGTGTGTGTGAGTGTGTGTGTGTGTGTGTGGCGCGTGCGTGCGTGTCGTGCGTGCGTGCGTGGTCGTGTCGTTCGTTCGTAGTCGTGTCGTAGGCGTGCCCGTGCGTAGCGTCGTGCGTGCGTGCGTGCGTGCGTGGCGTGCGTGCGTGCGTGCGTGCGTGCGTGGTCGTGCGTGCGTGCGTTGCGTGCGTGCGTAGCGTGGTGCGTGCGTGCGTGCCGTGCGTGCGTGCGTGCGTGCGTCGTGCGTGCGTATGTGTGTGTGTGTGTGTGTGTGTGTGTGTGTGTGTGTGTGCATGCGTGTGCGTGTGCGGCGCGCGTAGCGCCGATGGCCGCGGTGTGTGTGGTGTGTATGTGTGTATGTGTGTGTGGGTGTGCGTGTGTGCGTGTGTGTGGTGTGTGTGGTGTGTGTGTGTGTGTGTGTGTTAGTGTGTTGTGTGTGTGTGCTGATAGCCACCCTACTCTCCGCCTGCTATCCTCTCACCTCCACCTCTCCTCCTCGTTCCATCTCCACCGTCCTCCTCCTCCCCTCCACTCTTCCATCCACGCTCCTCCTCTCTCTCCTGCCCCACTTCCTCCTTCTCCCACAAGTCGAATATTCTCCGGTAGCGGATCTTCCTCCTCCTGCCTCTTCCTCGCTCCTTCTTCTTCCTCACTCATCCTCATCTCCTCGCTCCTCCTCCTCTTCCTTCTTTCTCCTCCTCCTCCTCGGCTCCTCCTCGCTCACCACCTCCTCCGCCTCTCAACAACCTCCTGCTCCTTCTCCTCTCCACCTCCTGCTTCTTCTCACTCCACTCCTCCACCACCTCTCCTCTTTCTCCTTCTCCTCTTCTCCTCTCCTTCCTCCACCACCTCCACTCGCCTCCTTTTCCACCTCTTCCTCCTCCACCTCCTCCTGCCACGCTCCTACTCTGACCTCGCTCCACCATCCTCCCCATCCTTTCCAGCTCTGCCCGCTCCTCTCCACGCTCCATCCACCTCCTCCGCCCCTTCTCCTCCACCTCGTCACACCTCCTCCCCTTTTCCATCCACTCTCTCCTCCCTACTCTTCCTCCTCCACACCTTCCGCTCCCTCCTTTCCAGCACTCTTCTCCTCCTCCTCCTCCGTACCTCCTCGCTACTCTCTCTCCTCCCCTCCTCCTCCACCTCCTCCTTTTGCGCTGCCTCCCTCCTCCAGCCTCGCTCCCGCTCCTTCTCGACCTTACTCTGCACTCCTCCTCCCGCCTGCCTCCCCCTCCTCCTCACAGCCTCCTCCCTCTCCTCCACCTCCTCCCTTTCCTCTGCTCTCCCCTCCTCCTCCTCCTCCACCTCCTCTCCTCTCCTCCTCCTCCCTCCATCCTCCCTCCTCTCCTCCTCCTCTCTCTTCGCTCCTCCTCTACTCCTTCTGCTCCTCCTCCTATCTCTCGCTCCGCTGCTCGCTCACCACCCCTCCCCGCTCCACACCTCCTCCTCTCCTCG